TACTTAGTTACTTTTTATGGAAAGTAATGCGTTACGTTACTTTTGCGCTACTTTTAAAATCTGGACAGGGCTTGCTTGTTTGTTTTTAAAATAAAAAAGTTATATTTTTGGCAAATATAAAAGCCTTTCACACCAAAAGTGAAATGAAGGAAATGTACAGTAGAATACAGAAGAAATTTCAACACACTTCAGCAATAAACAAAGACACACAAATGTTTGTCTAGAGTAATTTGTGTTTATTAGTACGGTTGAACTGAATCATCGAAGCTCAGAAGCAAAGACATTGGTTAATAGAATGGTATTAAATACATAAAGCATATTTGTGTTGTTTAACATTTAATTATTGCAGGTTTGCGTCATATTCTGAGTTGCATTATTTTTATTCATTTTGAGGAATACTGAATCTGTGTTTTTTTGTGAGTGAGATGAATTAATCCATATTCATATTTATTTTAGAACTACAGTAACATCTGATTCTCTCAACATGGGGACAGGAGAGCTGTCAATTAATACATTGTGGGAAAAAAAGTAACTTGCGTTACTTATTTGAAAAAGTAACTCAGATCTTGTAAAGTAATAAGTAATGCGTTACTTTACTAGTTACTTGAAAAAAGTAATCTGATTACGTAACTCGCGTTACTTGTAATATATTACCCCCAACACTGCACACACATGAGCGCAATATATGTATATATATATATTTTGTTTGTACTATTTTCTGTTTTTCTTTTCTTTTCTTTTTTTTTAACCTTAACCAAAAAAATGATACCTATGATAAATTATAAAAATAATAATATTATTATACTATGTTTAAGTTCTGTTTCAGCAATGTTTTATTTATTTTTTATTAAAATGTCTTTATTTATATATCATAAGATGGCATCAGGTTGCCTTGGTTGTTATTGTAAAGTCACTTTAGATAAACAATTATCTAAATGAAAATCTTTTTTTTCAAAAATGTCATCCATTCTGCAAATTTGATTAGTTATTAAAAAATGTATTAAAAAATGAAACATAAAAGTACTACAATATAAATATATATATTTTAAATAAATGCATCATTTATTGGAGTTATTTGCTAGCACAGATTAAAATTTTTGGAACTACAATTATGCTTTTATTAATTTGTATTATCTATCTATCTATCTATCTATCTATCTATCTATCTATCTATCTATCTATCTATCTATCTATCTATCTATCATCCATCCATCCATCCATCCATCCTATCATCCATCCATCCATCTATCATTCTATCTATCTATCTATCTATCTATCATCCATCCATCCATCCATCCATCCATCCATCCTATCATCCATCCATCCATCTATCATTCTATCTATCTATCTATCATGCATCCATCTATCTATCTATCTATCTATCTATCTATCTATCTATCTATCTATCTATCTATCTATCTATCTATCTATCTATCTATCTATCATCCACCCATCCATCCATCCATCCATCTATCATTCTATCTATCTATATATCTATCTATCATCCATCCATCCATTCATCCATCCATCCATCCATCCATCCATCTATCTATCTATCTATCTATCTATCTATCTATCTATCTATCTATC